TATTTTCCTTAAGAGTTAAAGATGGACCCTGGCATCCAGAGTACTGGCAAGACATAAAGCTGGAAACCATCTATAGCCTACTGTAACTAAAAAAAGACACCCCCCCCAAAAAAAACCAGATTGTGAGTATATGCCTAAGTGCTATGTAATCAGCAATAAGAATTCTTATTTTGTATGGAAATCTTTCTAACATACTACTATTAAATTCAGATTATCCTTTCACTGGTTTTAAACTAATTATAGCGACCTAATTTACTTTATTTTTTTAAATTTTTTTTTCCTAATTTACTTTAAATAAAAGAAAAACTGTATCTATTTTTGTGCAACAAATAATTTTTATTCAAGCTAAATCCAAAGGATTTGTAAAGATGAGTGGCATCTACTCAAAAGTGCATAACATAGGAAAGTTGAAAAATAATGGCCAAGGCCATTATGGGGCTGATTTTACCCATGCTAATGTGGCTGTCTTTAAGTGCTTACACACACAAACACCAGTTCCTCTCCATGGGCAGTAGCCATTTAAGCTCCTAAGTAAGGAAGCCAGCTCCACTTACTTGACTACCTGGGGTGAGAGCAGGCAGCTAGCTGAGGAAGGCTTTTATGAGCTGATTCATTCAGTCACAAACACCCTGAGTGAGTGCCTCTATGTGGGGGACTGGATTCTACTGCCAATATGGCATCAATATAATTCTCCATTAAAAGAAAAATTTTTTGGGCTGGGGATTTAGCTCAGTGGTTCTGCTGCCTGCTTTGCAAGCTCAAGGTCCCAGGTTCCTGGTACCAAAAAAAAAAAAAAAATTTGGTAATGTCCTTGTTCATATTGTGCCTTGAAAAACACCAATAACCCCTTACACTCATGGCCAAATGTCCCCCTTCACATGACGCCATTTCTGACCCTTGGTCCCTCAAATTTGATGTTCCTAATGCCCTTCAATCACACTTCACTATTTATACTGCTACAGGGATATTACTCTTTCCATCTGAAAAGAACTAATAACACAAAATGAGAGAAGTGTTAGGCCTTGGCTAGGTATTGAAAATAACCAGTTGAATGAAAAACTGGCCTTGTGTTAAAGGAGCTCATGGCTTGGTGGGGATGTCAGGCAGACAATATATTTATTTCAGGAAGCACAACTCATGCAATATACTAGTGATAAATACACAGCAGATTAAAAGTATGGAAAGGAAGGAGAGAGATGAGACAGCCCCAGGGAGGGATACCTGCAGGCCATGTCATAGGGTGAGCAAGTACATACCAGGTAGAAGGAAAATTAGGTTCCATCCAGAAGGCGTGAAATTTGGGTGTAAAGTTTTGGTCATGTGAGGTATAAAGGTTCTAGCGACCTTCTGGTCAACATTATGCTTACAGTTGTACAATTAGTTGTACATTAGTACAATACTGTACTGAACATTTAAAAATCTGTTAACAAGGGGCCGGGGATTTAGCTCAGTGGTTTCGCCAACTGCTGTGCAAGCGCAAGGACCCGAGTTCGATCCCTGGTACCAAAAAAAAAAAAAAAATCTGTTAACAAGAAGATAAAATCTCATATTTTTACAATTAAAAAAGAAGGTCTAACCATTGTGGCACATGCCTTAGTCCCAGATACTCAGGTGACTGAGGCAGGAGTATCGATTTAGCCCAGAAGTTCAAAGCCAGCCTGGGGAACACAGTAAGATCTCATCTCTTTTAAAAATATAGAAGAAGGCATTAAATAGTATGGTCTTTCTCTGAGGGAACCTATGAGGAGACTGTGAGGAGCCCACTGACACTAAAGTGATGGGTAAAACAGGGAGTAGAAAGAGAAACTGGAGAACAGGAAAAGAGCCAGATCAGAATGTGCCTTGGAACCAATGTTTGTGTTTTTAATTTCCTAGGCAGTGAGGAGCCACAGAGAAATAAGATTAGTGCTGCATTTTGGAACAACTCAGGTGGCAGTATGGAAGAAAGATGGACTAAGGTAAACATGAGTGCTGATAAGCTCTGATGATGTCTAGGGGTGACCAAAAGGCCTGGGCTAGGCCAATGATGCAGGGGCAGGACTGCCTTCTGAAACACTTAACACTATATGGAGTAACTCGGTTAATTCATCTGTTTAGTTCCCCCCCAAAATATAAGTTCTACTCAGGAACTGTCTTGCTCACAATTTTATCCCCACTTCTAGAACACAGCCTTGTATACAGCAGAGGCTCAGTCAATACTTGCTAATTCACTGAACAAATCCCTTGAAGACAAGAACCCTGGCTAACTCCTATGTGTATTCCTCCATACTTTCTTCTCTTTTTTGGTACCGGGGATTGAACTTGGGTCCTCGCACTTGCGCAGCAGGTGGCAAAACCACTGAGCTAAATCCCCAGCCCTCTTCAATACTTTCAATATAATGTTATATATAAAAGAGGCTCAAAAATATTTGTTGAGGTATTTTTTAAAGGCATATGTCCTCCTGGGCATGGTGGATATACTTGTAATCCCAGCACTCAGGAGGGTGAGGCAGGAGTATTGCTGTGAATTTGAGGCCAGCTTGCTGGACTACACAGTGAATTCAAGGGCAGCCTGTACTGCATAGTGAGATCCTGTCTGAAAAAAAAAAGGCCTATGTCCTGATTTTTTTCCAAATAATAACAAATTTTCTGAAGAGAGAATTTTTCCTTGCATAACCCACCTGGATATCTAGCAATCCAGTGGGGTCCTTTTCTACTTTGTAAGTCACTGCTGGCAAGAAAGCCTTAGAAATCAGAGCCAAGTTGCTGGTTGTGCTAACAATGGTCAGGAAAGCCAGAAACGCTATGGTCCTCCTATTCTGGTGCAACAGTATCTATTTCATATCATAAGAGGGTAGCACACCACTCCTTTTGGCTGTAGTCAAACTGTTGAAGGCAAGTCAGCACTCTGATGGTTCCTCATACTGCCCTACAAACCCACAACCAATAACTGGTGGAGCAGATTTCCACACAGAGGAAGAATAAAGAGATTCAATTTCTCTGTTATATCAAGAACCAATAAAAGGGCAGTTTAATATACTTCTGAAGCAGATTACACCAGGTGCAGCCATCAGGTGATTTATCCCTATGGTCTAGCACAAGTCCTGCAACTGCTAGTTTCAAGTCAGCTGCCTACTCAGCACTCTGCCAACAGCACGTTAAGTTTCAGAAAAGCATTCTGTACCTCCAAGAAAGAAGGCCCTGACGGTGTCTCCACCAGTGTCAATCAGGAATCCTTTCCAGGACATCTACACTGTTTCTGGCACATGGGGCATAAGCACAAGCACAAATCCTGACTTCTACTATGTGGTTTTTAATGATTTAACCTTTCTCAGTCTCATAATCTCCATGGCCTTACAGGGTTCCAAAGAGATTAGATGAGGGAACACATATACTGTGATAAATATGGTGCCTAGTACCCAAAGGCATTTAATGAATGTTAGTTTCTTCCCTTACCCCAAATAGGAAAGGGAGGTAAGTGAGGAGCCACCTTGTATGAAGAAGACCTCACAGTGGGGCTTACGCACAGGGAGAAGAAAGCAGCTTGTGGGAGAAAAGGTATGGAAATAGCTAGCTGCTTCTTTCTCGTCTATACTTGAGAAACTTACAAAATATGAGTAACAAGAAGCTGTCCCAAGTATAAAGGAAACTAATCTGTTTGCAAAGGGAGGAAAGGGCCGGGAATTTAGCTCAGTGGTTATGCTGCCTGGCTTGCAAAGGGAGGAAATAGAACAGGATAAAGATTATAAGTTGTTTGAAGCTTCTTCCCTAATTACCACTCATAATGAAAATTTAATTGCCAAGTTAAAAGCAAATTTCACTTTTTCTGTCAGAGAATCTCTGCTGAAACTGGCACATTTTGTTTGAACAGGAAATCAAAGTTACTTTAATACTTAAATGAGATCTAAGAAGCTGCAGATGTTTCACTGGGAATAACAAGCTTCAAAACTCTGCCCTACTGGGTTGCAGCAACTCATGGCTATAGTGAGAAAAACTGTTTTGAGCTGATAATGTGGTTTGGATAAAATTTCTCCACTAATGGTTCATGTGCTGGAAGCTTGGTCCCCAGAGCAGTGATACTGAAAGATGGACCCAGCAGGAGGTTCTTAGGTCACTGGAGCAGTGCCCTTGGAAAGGATTAATACACTGTCACCAGCTTGAACCACTCAAGGTGCATGCATGACTGTCCCACTGAGCAGCTTGTACCACTGGTGGTACAAACAGACCTAATCACTTTTTCTGTCTTTTTACTAACAAAATTAATAAAATGCTGACCGATGGTACAGTCATGCATGTATCACTGGTGGTTCAAGGTGCCTGGCAGAGAGACATGAATTGTGGCCCCATTGTGAATGTGTTAATGTAGTTTTCGTGGGATCCTTGGGTTAGTTGAGAGAGGATAGTTATAGAACAACAAGACAGGGCCAGGGATTTAGCTCAGTGGCACTGCACCTGCCTCACTAGTGCAAGGTCCTGAGTTCAATCCCTGGTACTAAAAAAAAAAAGACATCCATGCCCTGGACTCCCCAGTTTTCTGTCTAGGTGAGATCTCTTCCTCCCGTAAGTGCTCTCACCATGATGTGATCTGCTGTTAGGTCCTCACCAGAGGCCAAATCAATAAGGCTATCTGATTAGGGGTGTTCAGGTTGCAAAACTGTGAGCTAAATAAACCTCTTTTTTTTCGTAAGTAGCCTGCTTCGAGTATTTTATTATAGGAATGAAAAACTGGCCAATACAACTGAGTAACCTAAACAGGTGAAGGAGATTCAAATTCCAAACACCCCCACTGCTAGACCCTCCAAGGATGGGGTGGAGAAAGTGTGGTACAGAGAGGGTCTCTGCTATACTGGAACTTACAACAGAGTAGGAGACAGAAAACTAGGAAACACCTCAAGGTTAGTAATTGAAATAAAGAAAACAGGGTCATGGAAGAATAGCAACAAACAAAAAGTTAACTCTCCTGAAAGGCTTTCATAGCCTTCATTCTCACTCATATGAGTGTCAGTCAGAAGACTGCTCACCTGTAAGGTACTGGTAAGGAAGTTGTCTTGAGAGACAATGTCCACAAAGAAGTCAGGAGGGATCTCACCAAGCTGGTGGTACAGGATGGAGATAAGGTTGATGTACAGGGTGTGGTGCTTCACCATGGCTGCTTCTGACTGGCATAGGAGGTTCAGGAGCCGCTTCCAGTGCTCAAATGCTTCATACACATTGCCCAGCAAGAAACACACAAAGGCAAACTGGAGTTCACCTGAAAGGTGCAGGGAGGAGAAATGATCATGAAGCCAAGGAGCATAATGCCAGCAGACTTTACCCTACATAGTTCACAGAGCCATCGATACCACTGGCCTCAGAAACAGGGGCCTTTTATCCTTCTTATTCTAGCAGAGCCTAGCATGGGATTTTACACCTAGTAAGCGCTCAGTAAATGTTTGGTGAACTGTTGTAAATTCAAGCTAGGGAGACCACACCATGGCTTTGAGTTTCTGCAAAATCAGACTGCGAGAGAATATATAAATTAGTATTTGGTTGGCATTTTAACAGTTTATAGAATTTGTTTCATTGATATGCTCAGTGGACCCCAACACTGGCTGCCCACCAGAATTACTAGGAGAGCTTGTTAAAAGCAAATCTGTCCAGGGCCAGGGATTTAGCTCAGTGGTTCCACTGTCTGCCTCACAAGCACAAGGTCCCCAGTACCAATTTAAAAAAAAAAAAGCAAAGCTGTCCAAGCCTTACCCTCAGGGATTTTAGACTATGAGAGATGATGGTCTCAGGATTTTCAACTTTAACAGCTCCTCAGGTGATTCTGATGCAGAAGACTGCACCAGGGCCAGGGAAATGCTGCACTACACACTGTCCTCCATTCAAATTCTCAAAATGTTTAAGGATGGTAGTGATAGTATTTGCCCATTTCATAGATGAGGTCATGGGCTTACCCAAGATTGTATATCTAAGTCTTTCACAATGTGAACAGCAGAAAGAAAATAGATTCCTTACTGGATGGGAACACTTCTAGAGCCTCCCCAAACAGGAAAATTCATGAGTACTTACTCAGAACTATCCTGCCAGCCAGCTTATTTTTGTTTATTTAATCACAGAGTTCTGTGATTTAATCTATATAAGCAACTTGACAGCTAAGAGCATGGGCTCTGGAGCCAAACTGCCTAGATTCAAATCTTAGCTCTACTACTTAACTGTGTGACCTTGGGCAAGTTACTTAATCTATTTATATCTCAATTTGCTTATTTCAGAGTTATAGTAAAGATTAAATTAATTGCTATAGTGCATGTAAAACATTTAGAATACTCAGCACAAAGCAGCACTCAAAAATATTACTATTCTCAATTTCCACTGGATGCCTGTCTCAAACAAAGAAGCTTGATGATCCAGAAGTCAATGCCATGGGCAAGCAACTGGGTCTTTGGCTGCCACAGACACACTGTGACTGATCAGAAATATCCTCTCTGGCTTCAAAGGTAGCTGTAAATTTAACAAGGTATTCGTACATGTAAGCCATAAAAACAACAGATTAGCACACCACCAAATACCTCCCTAATGCATGGCATTTGATTTGAAGCCTCCAGAGACATAGAAAAACTAGCCTGTTCCAAGCTTGTGGAACCAAGTTTGATTTGTGTGAATTGTTACCTGGTCAGTCTAGTTATTTTGGATGTTTGATGAAAATTTCAAAGTACAGTCAGCTTTTCTTTGTGTAACAATTTACTTGTCCAGTTGGCAGTTATCTGGTTAGTTTGCAAAACTAAACATTATCCAGTTCTTTGAATTTAGGATACTTATTTAAACTTGTGCATTTCTGACCATTACAGTTTGGACCTTGAATGTTCCCCAAATGCTCATGTACTGAAGACTTGGTCCCTAGCTAATGGTACTACTGGGAGGTGCTTCAGGAGGTGGGGCCCAGTTAGAGGAAGTTAGTGTCACTGAGGATGTGTACTTGATGGGGATATTGAGACCCCTGGCCCCTTCCCCTGTCATTGCTTCCTGACTGCCATGAGGTAAACAGCTTTACTCTATGACATGCTACCACCACAATATTCTGCCTACTACAGGCCCAGAAACAATGAAGCTAGGTGATCATGGGCCAAAACCTCTGAAACCACGAGCAAAAAAAACTTTACTCCTTTAAGTTAATCTTCTCAGGTGCTTTGTAACAGCAATGGAAAGCTGATAACACACCAACTTTTCTAAAACTGGAATCACAAGATTATTTTGATTAATTGCAATATTTAAGAGTTAGAAAACCAGATATTTCTTCATTCTTAAGACAGAATTTCAAGTGTCACTTATTATATCAAAATATGTACTATGTAATGCATTAAGAGACACCAATTAAAAGGTCCCTTATATCATCAGCTGAGCCAATGATATAAAAAGTCCTGTATTTGAATATTCCACCAACCTTCCAATAGGAAAATATGTAAATTACCTGTATAGTTTGTAAAAAAAAAAAAAAGGTGTATGAATAGCTATTAAAGACATTACAAATGTCTGCTGTCACTAACACTGAAAAAATAGAAATGAGAAGCCAATTTTCAGCCATTCAACTGGAAAAGACTTTTGCTAAAACACCATGCTTAGTGTTGTCAAAGGTGATAGGCAACAGCCTGCTAATAGCAGCAAAGATGTAAAACCATCTCCCAACAACATACACACTCTGATGCAACAGTTCTAGCCCTAAATGTATGTGTAAGTACAGTATACACAAGGATGTTAAGTTCATATTTATAATGGGATAAAAGGGACATCTTGCAGGTTCATCAACAGAGAACTGGTGCAGTAACTATGGGACATCAAAAAGCCACTAAAAGGGGTGACTGTTTCAGTGACATGAGAAAATTTTTATATTAGAGGAGACTGCAAAATAGTGTACTTTAATCCTTTATAAAAGTCATATAATAGTTGGGTGTGGTGGTGCATGGCTGTGATCCCAGCACTTGGGAGGCTGAGGTAGGAGGATTGCTTTCAGTTCAAGGCCAGCCTAGGGTACACAGTGAGTTCAAGACCAGCCTTAACTATATAGTGAGACCTGTCTCAATAAAGTTATATATACAGTATACCTAAACATATAAATGAATTTTTAAAAGACTAAAATGTATAGAAAAGAATGAAATGAGATACAGAAAATATATAGGAGAACAAAGGTAAGTAAATATACCAAAATGTGAAAACGATCTAGGTGGTAGGATTTAGAGTGAATTTTAATTTTGTTTTTCTTCTATGGTGACTATCTATTATTTTGTAATGAGGAAAAGCAACAATAAAACCATAACAATTAAAAATCACTGTCCTGGCGTAAACTAGTAGAGACCAGATCTTAAGATTCTGGAGCAAACTGAGGGGGCAGGTGGGAATTACTAGGAACATAGATCTAGCCTAGGAACCAGTAGTCCTGGGCTCTACTCTCTGTTCCACCACTGTGTGAGCCAAATCCTTTTCCTCAGCAGGGCTGTCCATATCAGAGGTTCCCAACCACAGGATTATATGCACTGGGCTCACCTAAGATGCTTGATTATTGGTCAGAAAAACTGCTGAAGCTCCACTACAGATATGACTTAGATTTTCCAAGGGTAAGGGTAAACACTCATTAATATCTTTAACAAGCACACTGGTTGAGTCTGCCTCCTAGCCAGATTTAAGAATCATTCAACCAAATGCATCCCCTATTCTAAAATACTCTACTACCAAAAAAGAAAAGAAAAGAAACCCAACAACAAAAAACCACTCTACTAATGTCATCTCTCTGGCCCACCCCTAAAAAGACCCGTTCCTTCTCACCAAGCACATCCTGGGGGCTGCTGGGGAACTGCTTGCTGAGCACAGTCTCCAGTGCATAGCTCAAGTCCATGCTGTGCCTGGTTATCTCTGCTGGTGTAGCACCTGCTGGGAACATCTGTGTGGGTAGCTCTGAGAATCGGATCTCTGTCCCAGCTCTAGGCTTCATCTCAGGCAGCCGGGCTAGGCCCTCTTGATAACTTTTGCACTCTGTGCCACAGCGGGGTAGGTTCTGCCCCACCCGGTCCTTGGTGTGCCTCAGGGACAGTACAGGCAGCACATCTGAGAAAGCACAGATCTGCCGGCTTTCAGGCTGCAGCCTCTCCATTGTGGCCTCACTGACAAAGTTGGTGAGTGAGATCCATTTCTTGAGTGTGGCATATGGATAAGGTCCCAGAAACTGGTCCAGCTCCTGGAGATTGGCCCTCATAGCTTCCACTTCAGCTTCTGGGGCCGGGGACAAGTCTACCTCTTCCCGGAGAGCATTCCAGCGCAGGACTGTCAACCCCCGCTGCTGCAAGCTGAGGAAGAAGCCCATACGAGGACCCACATCCCTAGGATTGGCTTTGTCCACAGAACTGTAGTGGAGAAAGTGGATGCCTGGTGGGATCATCTTTACACCCCGGAACTTGGGTCCTACCTCCCAGGAATTATAGTCAATGCCAAACTCTGTCCCCTTGGGCACATTCAGGATGACCACAGTGGCCCCTTCAAAGAAGAGGTGCTTGGCTAGGTCAGGATCCATCTGTGTGGCAGCCATGGGGCCAACGGTGAGTAACTCAAAAGGAGAATCCTTCTTGTATTCTGAAAAAGCTGAAAAAGAAATAAATGTGTTAATCAGATGCTGAGCAAGGTGGTTCATGCCTGTAATTCCAAGACTCTTAGGAGGCTCAGACAGGAAGGATTCAATTTGAGCCAGGCCTGGTGACTCAATGAGGCCCTGTTTCAAAAAAAAAAAAAAAAACAAATAAACATGCTAGAAGTGTAGCTTACGTTGGGGTCATCCCCAGTACCACAAAAATAAATAAATAAATAAATAAATAAATAAATAAATAAATAAAATCAGAACTTGGGGAAGGTTGCTGGATTTGCTGAGAATTCTCTAAGTGCCAGATGTTGAATCAGACCCCTGACATTATTATCCCCCTTAATCCTCATGACAATCCTGCATCTGTTTTATAAATGAGAAAAATGAGGATCAGAGAAGAGAGGAATTTTGTGTTTTGATTCAAGAAGCAAGAACACTCACTTCACAGCTAGAAAGACAGCAGTTAAATAAAAATGGTAAGCACAAAATCACAGAAAGCCCAAATTCAAGTCTGTGTTCCTGTCCCTGCACGTCAGTGTTCTTTCTATTGCTCACTCTTAGGATCCACTCTCCGATGTCTCTCAAAATTGAGGACGAGGGTGGAAAAAGTCTGCAGGGTTCATTCTAAATGATAACTACTCCAAAATCATCTAAACCTACAATTCTGCCCAAAACTTATCACTGGAGTCCCAGAAAATTTGAGATGGATGATTAAATCAAATTTATATCCAATTTTCCACCAGCATTTAAAATTTACAAAAGGTTTGAGGAGTGGAAACTTTTCAATTACAAATCTCCCTTCTTTTACAAAACCAATCTCCAGGAAGTGAAACAACTTCCCAGACAGCTATAATCATTGGCAGTTGTGGACCATTTACTCAGAATGAACTCATGGCAGGGCTGACCTAGGATCAGTATTTAAAGGAGAAAGACCTTAGAACGCTTATTTTGCCTACCTCTCAAATTCCCACCAGAGAAACACTGATAATCTCTGCAGGCAGACACTCCCTCAGTGGTATTTGTAAGAATGGTTACAATATGCACCTGTTTAAACCAATCAATGATCTCACCTAGTCCTTAGTCACCTGTTTATTCAATTCCACAAATATTCACAAGTTCTATGCTACAATCTTTGCTGGGTCTCAAAAGAAACATCCACTGAATAAGACAGTTACTGGCCCCCAGACACTTTTAATCTAGCTATAGAAACAGGACCTCAGAATTTCACAAACAGAATAACCAACTGTTTAATTCTGTTTACTCTTATTTTAACAAAACTGTGGAAAGATCAATACTTTTTCAAGTATGTTAGAACCGTATTTTATCCAAAAATCACTACAGCTGACTATCTAAATTAAACTGTAAATTACAACTTATTAAGGGATCAAGGAATCAATTTAGAGGGTTCTGACCAGGATTACTTCTTTTACAAGAAAATAACATAATTTTTAAAATATCAGAATGTGTCACAAATAATAAGGATTTTTGTTGTTGCTTGTTTTGTTTTTGTGGCACTGAGGATTCAACCTGGGGCCTCTTATATGCTAAGAAAGTGCTCTATCCCTGGGCTACACTCCTAGCCCACAGATAAGTATTATTTTCTGAAACTCTGTGTTTGTATGCACATTTGGTCCTCACAGCCCTAGAATGCAGAAAGTCACATCTAATCACACTCTCCACCACCTCCCTAATCCAAACTACTATCATCCCTCACACAGAAAGTGCTGGCCTCTTAATCCATTCCTATCCAACAGGCAGAATGACCTTTTCAAAATTCTAATCTAATCATACCACCACCCATACTTACCCCCTGAGTGGTTTCCAATGTGGTTCTGGGGAAACCAAAATTCTTGCCGTGATCTAAGTCTTTGTGGTCTAGCTCTTGGCAGTCCCAAGTCAAGCTTGTTTCACACCACGCTCCCTCCCTCCACTCTCCCAAACTGTTCCAGCCACACTAGCCTCTCTTAGGCTCTCAAATTGGAGAAAACTTCCCCTCGAACTTTCCTGAATCATTTTTTATGATCTCAGGTCCAAATTCACCTCCCCAATAAAGCTTCCTTGAACTCAGTGTGATACACTCAGGGTGTGTACCTTGTACCTTTCCACTTTAATTACACTGTTACAATTTTGCATGTTTGACTGAAATTTGTCACCAAGAGACTTGAGTCCTTCTGTATCCTTAGCACACATCAGACGCTTAGTAAACATTTAATTAAATGTGCATTTTGTAAGTGAGAAACAAAGGCTCGGCTTTGGGTAAGACCTTACTCGAAGTCCCACACAGAGTAAGGACAAAACCAGGTCGGGCGCAGCTAAGGACTCCTGGCCCCAAGCTCTACAGTTTAAAAAAAAAAAAAAAAAAGAAAAGCTACTCCGTGCGCCCCGGGAAGCCCTGGCGACAGTGTCTCCAGAGAGAGCCGCGTCCCACAACCAGACCTCAGACATACACGCTGCCGTCCTGGCAACATGGGCCTAGTTCAGGGTACTCAGCGATTCCGAGCCAAGAAGAGGGATGGCCTGGACACACGCACACACAAAAGGGAATCAGAAGAGGAAAAAAGAGGCCAGCACAACGCACTTACCTCCTCGACCCTCACTCGGGTACCGCGGAAACAGACCGGAAGTTCTACCCCTTTGGCGCCGGATGGGAGCAACCGCGAGAGACGTCCGGCGGAGACCTCGGTCGCGGAAGGAAAGGACCGTGCTTACAGGTCCCGCTGGGTCAATTTTTGCTACTATTAATTTCTCATTTTACCTGCTGAATGTGGGGAACAACTTTAATTAAACTATACCTTTTATATTCCCTTCCAGAAACATACTACCAGCCATAGTCCTTTGGTCTCAAGCATTCATAGGTCATTGACGCATGGGCCACATCATCACTACCCAATACCCATAGTCAGGCTCTTAATCTTGGTTCTCTTCAGACGATCTCTGAGTGACAGTGTCAGAGTTGGCCCAGTATCACCCAATGGTAGCTCAAATCTCAGACGAAAGCCCCTGAAACCCAGTCCCCAACCCGGAGAGGACCAGTGGATCTCAACAGCAAGGGTAATCACATCAGTCCCTCTGGCCTTGATCACCTAGAGTCTTTTCTAAATATACCCCTAGGTGGAGGAAACTGCCTGTCTTGTTCTGCACTGTTTCCCTGGAGCCTAGCACAAAATCATTTCACCGCATATGTTATGCATCAATTAATGGTAGTAATGTGGTATTCACAAATGGCTTCTAATTGTGAGCTTAGCCCTGTACTAGGTGGTTGTATTTTGGGCAGCTAAATTTAGATAGAAATTAATATACAGTCAGAAAGGGACTGGGATGTCAAGGAAGTCAGCAGAAAAAATAAAGACAGAATTGTGATTGTAGGAACATCTGAAGACCAGGCCTCAAAATAAAGATGCAATGGCCATGCCTACATGCCTCCCCTAAGGGATAAGCAGTAACTTGGAATTATACTATAATTGGTATTACCTGTTCCAACAAAGTCTTGATAGGCATCAGTTGCCCAGGTGGGTGACCAGAGCATCTGGACCCATCTCTTCTTAAAAATACCTTTGTTCATTCCACGTACCCTTGCTATATGACCTGCTTCCCTATTGGACTAATATTAGCTAAGCAGCTATACTTCTAATCCTACAGGTTGATCATAGTTTTGACCCACGTTGTACCCATCTCCTGAATTTGCTCTATTAAACTTTATCAGAGAATTGGGCTATGGCAACCCAATTTTGGGTCTACTCCTGTTTCTCAGGAGGTACATCTCTCAATAAATTTTTCTTACTCTTAACCTCCGTTGTTCCTTAGAATTCATTCTTCAATTTCGGGGAACAAAAATTCAGTGTATTTGACATCTAGCAGGTTGGGAGTTATACTTTTCCCCCCATATCAGTTGTATCAGTCAGGGTTCCATCAAAGAAGCAGAGCCAGTAGGGGATATATATTAAGTAATTTATTTCAAGGAATTGTCTTATGTGGTTGCAAGGGCTGATTATGAAACCAAGAAGTTGAGATGGATCTTTTAAGATTAGGATTTTTAGTGGGACATGGTGGTGCACACCTGTAATTCCAGCAATCTGTTCGGCTGATGCAAGAGGACAGCAAGTTTGATCCCACCCTGAGCAACTTAATGAGACCCTATCTAAGAAATAAAATTAAAATAAAACTGGGGCTGTTTCTCTGCCTGAAAGTGACACTTTTGATACAGTTAGAGACCACCATACGGATAGAGGACAAACTCCTGGGCCCTTATCCTATTACTCATTAAAAGAATCATTAATTTTTTTTCTGAGGCTGACAGGGACTTAAAAGTGGTTTTTACTAAAAACCATGTCTCTTCACTTGTGCCTACAATGCCCAATAGGTAATTACAAACAAAGCTTGACCTTCATTTCTTAAAACTCTGAATCAAATCCTTTCTCAGCTCTGCATATAAACATGTTAGTCATTGAGGAAGTGTCTAAAAGTTGGCAAAACAACGTTTATTCATTCTAAATTTTCCCAGCCTCCCTCATTCTCCTTCAAGACTGAGGACACTAAGATAAGAAATTTACAGGGACATTCAGCTACATCCAGAAGTCTCCACTGCTATAAACCTATATTGGATTCCAGCAGAGCCTCACATGACTGAAACTGTTCCCAAGCAGAGACCATCACCTCATGGTAAATGAATTGACCCTCAAGCCATAAGGGCTCCTCCAGAGCTACAAAAGTAGGGCTGGGATAATGACTAACCAGACTTTAGCCCCCGCATAGCACCCTATAAAACTAATATCTATTCTTTTGTGAGCAGGCCAGTTGGATCTACCACTTCAGACCTGTGCCCCCTTTATTTCCTCAAACTGAAGCCTTTCCATATTTTCTCTTACTTTCCTTTCTCAGGATCCCAGGTTGATCTTTGTGTAAACTGCCCCCTTACGGTTACGGGGGTTCATTTTCTCTTACTTTCCAGGTAAAGCTTTTCCCTACAAATTCATACTGAATGGTTCTGGTGCCAAGGAGGTTGCAATAGAATCAGATTTTCTACATTTTCTGGGCATGATGGTGGGCAAAAGCCTTCTGGGTATGGTGGTGGGTCAAAGCCTGGATGAATCTACATATGCATTTTTCCTGGCTTTTTTTTTTTTTGTACTTGGGATCAAACTCAGGACCTTGGACTTTCCAGGCAGGCCCGGCAACACAGAGCTACATCCCCAGCCCTCCTGGCATTTGTTCTAATCCTCCTATAAATTGAAGCCCTTCTGTATATTTAAGAGAGGTGGACTAGATTCTCTGTCAATTTGGCCAATTATGAATAAATTCATTTTTCCATTTGTACAGGCTTTCCTTGTACTCTTGATGATGGATGGGCAAATAAATACATACAGGACCCAGATTCAGGCAGCTAGACAACACTGAAATCCACAGGACAGTCCACTTACGTATTTTTTTCTTACTAACTAGTTATTAGTATTCCCAATCTATGAAAGAGAAAACTTGATATTCAGAGAAGGATTACATAGCCAGAGACTGGCAGCTGCAAACCACAATCTGAAAGGCTGTTCTTGCCTGTGTGCTGCTGCTCCTTAGCTTGTCTGTCACAATTCCTCAGTGACAGCTGGACACACCAATCTGTCACAGTCAAAATCCAGCTCTTGGGAGGTTGCAAACTAGGCTGGGGCTCCCAGCACAGAGGAGGAGGCTTCTGGGCCACCATAGCACTGTTCCTAGCGCAGAGGAGGTGAGCCACACGGGCACCAGCAGCAACCCCCACCCCACCACCGTCAAAATGAGAAGACATGTGAACAAGCCTCAAAAACAGACTTCCAAAGGGAAATGAGATGGAACACTCTGATACTCAACCACCTGGACTCCCTGAACTGGCAACAAAAGACAATCTGGAAAAAATGAAATCAGAAATAATTTCTCAGATAACAGCAGAGATTGTGCCCATAGTGCAAGACATGATTAA